CGAAGTGACGAACCAGGCCTGCTTCAAAGCCTTGTCCTAGTCCACCTAAGTAATACTACTCCCTCCGTCCCGCTAACATTGGGACAAGAGGGAGTGACACACAAATTAATAAAGAGTGGTTTATGTGGTTGATATTGAATTGATAAAGTAAAAATAAAGTAAGAATGATTTAGAACCACATAAACTTTACCAAATTTGGTATGAGACAATCTTAATGGGACGGACCAATAAGGTAAATGGGACAATCATAGCGGGACGGAGATAATAGTATACTACTACAAAAAAATTGGGCCCTTCCAATTTTTTAAGCCCTGTGCGGTTGGACACCCTGCACACCACCAGGGCAAAACAATGGATAAGATTTTTTTTTATGTGAAAGGTTATTTTTCAACAATATTATTAAATCATTTTTATTGGTTTTTCACAATTTCAAAATTATAGGTTCAATGATTTCAAGATTGTGATTTGATAATTTTGAAACTCACCTTTTTTAACGTACTTCTCTTTTTCATATTTTATTTTTTTATTAACTCAAAATCTCAAATTATTTCTTTTAATTTTATAATTTTTAACGGGTCTTCTTTTAACACATTTTAAATGCAAAATAGATACATATATAAGTTAATATCACGATATATCCCGTGCATCGCACGGGTACTATACTAGTGGAGGATAAAAACTATATAGGGAGAAGGAGCTAGAAAAGAGGAGGAAGAAGTCAAAAGCAGATCCCCCAAAGTAGAAGAGAAGCCTCCTATTTATAGAAAATAGAGTGTGGGTGCAAAACCACCCTAATTGGCCAAATGGGCCGAAAATGAGCCATATGGGCCAAAGCGGACTGAGTGGGCCGGAATGGCTAAAATGGGCCTCAGTGATCGGTGTCACGGACTTATTCTCGAACCCGTACGGCACTAGCAACACTCACTCGAACTATGCTAGTCAGCCTAACTTTTGCGGAAACTAGGACACCGATTGTGGAGAAACTCGTACAAATGCTTTATTGCTCTCAAGCTTTCAATGATACAAATGAGCCAGCCATGAGGGGTATTTATACTTGTCCTCCTCCTATTGGGATGATGTTTTGGGCTCTTGAACAGGGCCGGGAAAATATATCCCAACAATTGTTCACTAAGGAAACTAAGTTGAAAACCTTTTAAGCTTAAAAAAGATTATGTCAAGCTTAAAAGGAGAGTAATAACCCAAGCTTAAGAGCATAAAATAAGTAGCTTAAGAGCTTAAAATAAGAAAGCCTTTTAAGCTTAAAAGAAGAGGGTGTTAACCCAAGCTTAGAAGCTTAAATTAAGGAAACCTTTTTTTAGTTTTTTCTGCAAAACTAATTTTTTTAGAAAAAATGGGAAAACTTCTTAAGATTATATCCAACTTAGTCATTTTTAAAGTGTTAAACATTGGGAAAATGGAAACTAATAATCCAACATTTTAGCGGTTTTCTTACGATAGTCCCACCTTTTGATTATTCATGAATAATCCAACATTTGCACCCCATCTTCATTCACTGGTCCCTGGCCGATTTATAACCTGTTATTCCAAGTTATTTTCTTATCTTTGTAAAACATTATACCATAATTCTCACCTTATAATCATATAATGTTAAACATTGGGAAAATGGAAACTAATAATCCAACATTTTAGCAGTTTTCTTACAATAGTCCCACCTTTTGATTATTCATGAATAATCCAACCTTTGCACCCCATCTTCATTCACTGGTCCGTGACCGATTTATGACCTGTTATTCCAAGTTATTTTCTTATCTTTGTAAAACATTATACCATAATTCTCACCTTATGATCACATAATGTTTTGGAAAGATAAGAAAATAACTTGGAATAACAAGTCATAAATCGGTCAGGGACCAGTGAATGAAGATGAGGTGCAAATGTTGGATTATTCATGAATAATCAAAAGGTGGGACTATTGTAAGAAGACCGCTAAAAGGTTGGATTATTAGTTTCCATTTTCCCTTAAACATTTACCTTGTGTACCCTAAACTTTTTAGGATGCATTTAGATATACCCCTAGAAAATACGAAGTTGTACATTGTATTATTCCCAGCGTCCGATTCCAAGGAAGAAAAAGGGAAAACATGTTCTACAATTTGTACATTGCGAGATACAAAATGCTTCTTAGTTTGTAAATCCACGACTTTCTAGCCACATTGGGTGTATGAATATCCCAAAAACGCGCACTTCCGACTACGTGCTTGAAACTTATTTTTGGCATTGGCACCATACAAGACAACCCGTATGGATAGTTATTAAATGTCTCATTGTAAGCCCTAGGAAAGATATAGAGTCAGACACTAAATACAAAACAATCCGACTCACTAATCACGAAACGAGCAATTTTAAGTCTAACTCGATCGAAACCAAAACATTGCCTATTAAAAGTACAAAAAATATCCAAATATTTAAACCAAATCTATTCAAACTAAAATAAAAACAAGTACTCTTACAGAAAAAGTAACATCGGAATAAGATCTTTCCACAAAAAAATCCAGGCACAGAGGTGGTTTCAGAGGAGGATGACCTGCTCCAATATGAGTGAATACTAAATTCTTTTTCTTAATCCGTTCCGAATATACGTAGAAATATGTGGAGTAAAAAATAATACTCCGTATAATCTTTAAGTCTCTACCATTCTCTACGCAACCCAAAATAAGGTAGACAAAACCCCAGACCAGACAAAGCAGGTCGGACATTAAAGCAACTCCCCACACCAGAGCAAATACTCATACCAAGAATCTCATAGAATGGATGTCACGTTACTTTCCAATGAAGACGTTAATGGCAAGCGCCAATTATCATCTCTTTATGATTAGGGCTGAGCACGGGTCGGGTTCGGGCGGGTCGAGTCTGTGGACCCTTAACCCGTTCGGGTTTTTTAATTTAAATACTAGGTCCGACCCTTTGATATTTTAAATCGGATATTTCGGATATTTTTAAGTCGGATATTATCAGATACCGGATCGGGTTTCAGATATTTCGGTTATATTAAAATACATTATAATTGGATAATTAAAGTGTTGAAATGCCACTTTGACAAAAATTATACACACTAGTACATTATACATTTAAATTACACAAACAATTCAACACAAATTAAACAAATAATTGAACACAAGTATTAATTTAACATATTCAAAGTACACACTACATAATTTAATATATTTTGGTTATATTAAATCACAATATATTTGGATAATTAAAGTGTTGGAATGCCACTTTGACAAAAATTGTACACACTAGTACGATACACATTCAAATTACACAAATAATTTAACACAATTTGCACAGATAATTACACAAATAATTGAACACAAGTATTAATCGAACATATTCAAAGTACACACTACATAATTTAATATATTTCGGATATTCGGACGGATCGGGTTGGGATTTTACAAACCCTACCTGCCACCCGGTCTAGGCCCAATACTAATCGGATTTTCGGGTTTCAGGTTTTCGGATCGGATATCCGTATCCAATCAGATATTATCCGGAAAAAATTCGGGTTTTGCGGGTCGGTTCGGGTTTTGCTCAGCCCTATTTATGATTGTCGCTCGGGAGGAAAAAATTGTGTGCTAGGATTTAGAAATAATGGCCTAAGTATTACCTTTAGAGTTTTAAAAGACAAAACTATGACTAACATGGGATTAGACAAAAAGTGATAAAAAACAACCCGCCCAGCAATCCTTCAGTCCAGAGCTCCATTGCACCTTCCAACCTTCTCTCTTCATGAATCATGATGGCCTTCTCCGCTCCATAGCTCCGATGCGAAAATACAGAGCCACAGTCGCAGCCGTCGTGAGAGAGAGCCACCGATGTCGATTCCGCCGCCGCCGCTGCACCTCTCCTCACCGTCGCCGTCACATTTCTTCTTGACTTCTTATCTCTTCTTCTCGTCTGCAACCTGATGGAATGATAGCTGCCTCAGCCTACCTCACCGCACAGGACACCACCTAGCCACCTCATCGCACAGCCGCCTCTCCGCATCGTCTCGTTTCTCTGGGGATGGGGGTTGTAATCCTTCGGATCTATATATGCCATGAGCGATGGGTGAAGGCGACAGGCGACAGAGATAATATGTGATGAGCGATGACGAACGACGATGTGGCAAGTGGCAAGATTGATTGGAGTTTGACGGTGACGAAGAGCAGCGACTTTGATGAAGATGGATGCTACGGTGACGGAGATGGGCTAACGGCTATGATTTTGGCGGGTGGTGTTGGGCTGATGGCTGGGGGCTACAATTGGGGTTGGGGAAGACGGCTGTTGGTTGGGGGTAGGTTGGTTGGTTGGTCAGATCTGAGTTTCATTGAGCGACCACAAGCCGCCCAGGGCTTCATGGAGACGGTGGTAGGCTTTTGCAGGGGGTATTGTTATGGACAGAGGGTTGTTGTAGGGACTGAGTTGGGATGTTGGGGAGGGGCTGAAACAAGCTTTGGCGTGCTGCACAGTCTCGCCAGGAAATATCATCCGAACATTTCCCAGCGGTCAGTGACACGTTCAAGTCAGTGACATTCATTAAGTGACACGAAAATCCGGGAGTGGCGTCACTGTGGTGGCGTCACTATGATGGTGTCACTGTTGCGGTGGTGGTGCTGGTGTAATTGGCGTAATTTTTTTTTTTACTTTGACAACTCTCAGTTACAAGAAAAACGAACACAGTGACATCAATTTTTGTAGTGACATCATGTTTTCTAATTCCAGATATGTGATCTTGTTAATCATTTTTTTGTCAATTTTTAAAAGTACTCACTTTTTTTGAAATTCGGTTAATCAAATTGTCTGCTTGGATTTATTGCGAGGTTGACTCACAAAATGGCTTGTGTATATCGAGTTCAACAAAGTATTTTATTTGATATATATTTATTAGAACATATCAGATCAATTTAGACCAGATGAGATCAACAAATTTCAGTCAAATAAAAACATTCTGCTCCGTAAATAATATCCGGCACAAGTATACTTGTTACTTGTCTTTTTTGGTGTGCATGGGTTGACCCAACGGGTTCCGATTGACATGTCTTCCAGGTCCGGCTTTCCGGTCAGGATATAGCCTTCAACCGCACAGTCGCCATTTTCGCTCCTGCATCCTTCAAAGATTCTCACCGATTCATTCTCTTCTGTCTCTACCTCTCTCCACTTGCCGTCGATCAGAAGCCCTTATCTCCATGGGAGAATCTCGTGACTCCTTCGTCCATCACGCTCTCGGCGGCGGCACAGGTTCTCATCTCCATTACTACCGCTGCCATTATCTGCGAAATTCGTAAATGCATGATAAACAGAGTTCTATTCTATATTGATCAAATTCGATTTTATTCGCGAACTTCATTACATCGATGTTTTAAATTGAGATTAATCAACCGATTAGTTAAAAATTCATGAGTGTAATAGAAATGGGTGCATTCGTGTTTTAACTGTTCTGATCGGAGGAGTTCTAAATCCGATAGTGTGCGATTCTTTTTTGTGGCAGTTGCCGATGTGTTGTTGTGGAGGACATGGCATGGTAGTGTCGCGGTGCTCTTAGGCTCCACTGCATTGTGGTTCCTGTTTGAACGAGCCGGCTATAATCTACTCTCCTTTCTTTCCAATGTGCTTTTGCTTCTAGTTCTAATTCTTTTTTTCTGGGCTAGATCTGCTTCACTTCTCAACAGGTAACGTCTTATCTCTTTTTTCTTCCTGCTGCTTAGGTTATTTAGTATGTTGAATGTTCAGTGTATTAGAACTAGTGGGGATTTTAAACAACAACAACAACCAAACCTTACTCCTAAAAGTGAATTTTAAAATGCAATCTATTTCATTTCATTGGTTGAAATGACTAAATACTTGTGATAGTCAGGAACTCAGAAAATGGAGTTTGCCTTCACAGGTCTGCACTTAATCTGGACAGGTCTACAATACAATCTTTGTTTGGTTTTTGAAAAATAAAAAGAGATGGAATAGTAGAAAAAGGGCATTTTGTGTGTTATTTGATACTAGAGAAATGAAGAAGAAATGGGTGGAAGTTGGGAAGAGATTCATTTCTTTTCTATTTCTGTAGACGAGGGTGGACCCACCATTTTCATTTCTATCCTTCTCTTCTCACCAGATAAAAAAAGAGATATTACCCGAAATAGGACTAAAACAGTTTGAAAATTCCAAAATAGGATTGCCATATTTTTATTCCCAAAATAGGACTAATTATTGCCATGTTTTGGCAGTACCAGACTTCAAACATGGCAGTATTTTTTAAACATGGCTGTAATTAGTCTTATTTTGGGAATAAAAAAAATGACAGTCCTATTTTGGAATTTTGAAACTGTTTTAGTCCTATTTCGGGAACTTTCCCATAAAAAAATATATCCATTCCTCTCCTATTTATTTCCCTATATTTCTCTCCCTTCAATTTTACCTTAACCATAATAAAGGCTAAGTCACTTATTTTGATCTCTTAATTGTATGATTGATGCGTACTTTCAAATTTCAGACCTTTGCCTCCCCTTCCTGATATGGAGATTTCAGAGGAATGCATTGCAAATGCTGGTGAAGTGATGCGTGTGTGGGTTAACCATGTTCTTGCAATTGCCCACGACATTGCTATAGGAGGGAATGTTAGGCTTTTTGTTCAGGTCTTATACATCTCGTTGTTTTATTTCCAGATATCCGTTCATGAATCTGCTTCTTTAATTTTGTATTGGTCTGGCAGGTTGCTTTTGCCTTGTGGGCGATATCATATGTTGGAAGCTTCTTCAACTTTCTGACGCTGGTCTACCTGGGTAAGCTGTTTAGCTGGTTGTTTTCTGCCATCATTTTGGAGCATTTCCCCCCTACATTTTTAAGGGCCAGTCTGGGCCCTGGAAAAGACTTGGGGAACTGTTACAGGATATCAGATAACGTTGTGGAAAATTAGGAGTAGAGAAAATGCAAAGGAAAATAAATTGTAGCTGGGGTCCTTCGATATTTGTTGATACTGATTTTATATATATGTCTGTCTGTTATAAACAGACAAAGAAACAAAATATATGTAAAATTAATAGAAACACTTTTCACATTGGGGTTTCCTTGCATTTTCTTTGGCAAAATGGTGAAAACCTAATATTAGAACACAGCTTTTCTCAGAAAATTTTCCCTTTCCCTAGTATTTTCCACGATTCGAACATACCTAAGAAAATTTTGTTGTTTCAGGAGTTCTTTTCAGTCTAGCAATACCACCACTATATGAGAAATGCCAAGGTCAGATTGATGATAAGCTTGTTTTGGCACATAACGTCATCCTATCGCAGTATAGGAAAATTGATGATACAATTTTGAAAAAGATTCCCATGCATCTAAACAAAGACAAGAAGATTGAATAGTCAAAAAAAGGTGCTTGCTTTATCTCCCTCTCTCAAGTGAATCTACTTTAATAGAGTACCATAAAAGGGCCCATACTCGACTTACTTCCTTGTTCTAGATTTTGCAGCACAAAATGTGTAGCATTGTTAGTGTTTAATGTAAGTATCATGGATGCAAATTTTTCTTTCTATGATGGGTAGTAGGTTAAATTGCTAAAGCTGCATTTTATTGGCAATACACACACACTAGCGGTAGTCTCCTGTTCTTGTTGAAATGTAATCTTTCTCAATGTTGGATTGAAACAAAAAATGTAAAATGTTTATGCTGACAGGAACTATTATTCTGACAGTTACACTAAAAGTCTACAAGCATCATCATGCTTAGCAGTTTAGGCGATAGGGTAGGAAGTAAAGGCTTAAGAAAGTGTGCACCACAGATGTAAAAACCTACTCAGAATGTAGTAGAATGGAAAGCTCAAATGGTCAAAGAAAATGTTATGTGTTACAGAAAGCATGTACTAACGCAGTCCGAAATAAGTTGTACCGCACAACTATTAAAGTTTGAAATCACCAGCTCTAGCTATTTTTAAAATTTTATTTGATGGTTTAAGTTAATTTAAATTCTTTGGACACTTTGAAAATAAAAATCACATTAAAATGACTTTTATGGCCCGCCTCAGCTGTCTAGCACACGATCGAGTCTGTCACTCGTCTAGCACCTAGTGTTTTTAGCAGACATCGTTTTTGTGCCAAACCACAAGTAGTTGTGTTGAATGGGTCAAAGGGCTTTTAGTTACTTGGTGCATAAGTTTTTTTTAAAAGCAGAGCTCTTGTTAATGCTTTTATGCTCATATACTGCACATTTATTCACACATTTTGTCAGGTAGTTTAGCTTCTAGTCTCCATGGGGTGTTGTGAATTTTGCTCTTGAGCAGGATTGGCTGCCCATTAACCAGAGAGTATAGTAGAGAATGCTGATAGACACAAATACCTCGTTCATTTCGTGTGATTGGTGTTTCTCGAGTCTTGAGTGCTGATATAACTAATTGCGTGGATTATACATTGGGTTTACTCAGTACCTCATGTTCTTAGACGTTTAAAACAAGGGATGATTTCAATGTGATTTTTTAAGGTTTGTGTTAGAACTGATGATAACATGTGTTGGGTTTCCCACTGCAACTTATATATTCTGTATGTTGTTGATGTGGTGTGTGGGAGGAATAATAAGGCCGCAAAATAAAAACACACTCGATCAGGAGTTTATTCCATCCAAGCTGTGGGTCGATCCCGCACCACACTCCCTCTTGGGGGTGGTGTCCATTTGCCAATTCCCATGGCCCATATGCATTTCTCCTGTTATTCATTCTCTTCTCTGCATTTGCATACAACGACCAACCTTAATCTCAAAAGATTTTGGGGTCCGTTAACATGAATATATCGATGCCAAAAAGAGAAGATAGACAAGAAGCAAAAAAAGGATAAAATGAATAAGATAAAGATAAATAAATACGGAGTATAAGATAACAATAACCTAAGAATATAAGAAAGATAAAAGATTAAAAGACAAAAGAGCATAAAAAACTAGAAGATAAAAATAACATAGGAACATAAAAAGACCAGTTCGTATACCGTGGGATCATTCCACGGTGAGCACCGTGCTCCACTTCCAAAACGACGGAGTTTTGAACATTTTTTTTAAATCGCATGAACAGTACATGCGTCAATAGTACACGCGTCAATAGTACACGCGTGTACAGTAACTATTTTTTTCCCCTTTTGTCCTAGTAGCATGAATGATGTAATTCGCGTATAAAGATATGTAACTTACGTTATTAATCAATGTAACTCAAGTGTATTTGAAATGTAACTTGTCAAATACATAGTATAAAAAATACAATATTGATTTCAATGTAAACAATGAAAAAAGAGAATCTAATTGCACAATTGCTTTAGGTAAACCGTGAATTTGTTTTGTTTTTAATATCATGATTTTAATGTAAACAATGAAAAATTGATCCTAATAACTTAATTTTTTTAAATAGTGAATATGTTTTATTTTTAATATTAGGGCTATAAAAATGAAATAGCAGGGGTTTATTCCGTGGTGTAACTCGTATACCTTAAGATGTAACTCGCGTATATTAAGATGTAACTCGTGTACATTAAGATGTAACTCGTGTACATTAAGATGTAACTCGTATATATTAAGATGTAACTCGCGCAGAAGAAGATGTAACTTCTTGATATATTATCAAATTTAACTTCAAGAATCAAAATAAACAAACTCAATGTCTTAAAAACCTCTAAAAAAAATATAAAGTGATAAAAAAATTATATTATAGAAAAAGTGTATCTATATAAAAAATATTACAAAGAAGTGTATGAATATAAAAAGTATTACAAAAAAAGTATATGCATATAAAAATATTACATAAACAAAAATAGTGTATAAATATGAAATGCAATATACGTATTTTATTTAGATTAATAAACTTTTTGTTATGTATTGATAAAGAATAAAAAATAGATTCAATTATAATTTAAGATGAAGATAAAGAAAAGTAGGATTGCCATTAAATTTTTAGTATTTTAATTTGACAGAAAAAGAAAAGAATTGAACAAAAGAAAAATAAAGAAAAACAAAAGAAAAGGAATGAACGTTGTTGTTCCAGGAAGAAAGAAAAGGGAAAAGCATGCACTTGCCTTAAGTGGGATCGGCATACCATGGGGAAGGTGGGCCGATCCCACAGTATAATTTGTGTAAAAAGACAAAGAAGATAAACGATAAAAGAAAACGAGCGAGGAAAAATAGAAAAGAGATCAATCGTCCACACAAATGTGTGTCCTTCACTTTGCCCCCTCCAAAGCCATACTCTCATCCAACCCAAGAAGACGCATGCCAATTTTGATTACTCTAATTCAAGTCTGTTTCGGTCTTCCCTCCCTCTCCTCTCTGTCTCTTCTCCCCACTCCTCAAGTCGTCTAACAAGTTCATCACTCGGTCTTCTACGTACATGCCCAAACCACCGCAAACTAGACTCCCACATCTTATCTTCTATATGTACTAATCCCACCTTTTGTCTGATTATCTTATTCCTCAAGCGGTTTTTTTTTGTATGTCCACACATCCAACGCAACATATGCATCTCTGTCACACTCATCTTTTGAATGTGACATTGTTTCACCGCCCAACACTCTACGCCATACAATAATGCAGACCTAATTTTTGTTAGATAAAATTTATCTTTCACTCTAGTCGACATACCTCGATCGCATAGAAATCCTGATGCACTCTTCCATTTCATCCTCCAGCTCTGATTCTATGGGATACATTTCCATCTAATTCAACATTCTTTTAAATTATGGAACCCAAGTAACGAAATATATCACACACTGGTATCTCCTTACCATCAAGTGTAATCCCACTGTTGCTACTACTTCTACCTCCACCAAACTTGCACTCCATATACTCAGTTTTGCTTCGGCTCAATCTGAAACCCATGGTCTCCAATGTTTTGCCATACTTCCAACTTTGCTTTAACATCCGATTGTGTCTCATCAATCAATACAATATTGTCGACAAACATCATGCACCACGGTATATCTTCTTGAATTGACTTCGTAAGTTCATCCATGACTATAACAAATAAGAAATGACTCAGAGCCGATCGATCCTTGGTGCACTCCGATGGCAATAGGAAACTCTGCGGTCCTCCCTACAGTAGTACGGACACTCGCAGTACAAGCCTCATATATATCCATGATGATAATGATATACTTACGCGATATGCCTTCTAGTTAAGGCCACCAAAGGACTTCTCGAGGTACCATATCATATGCCTTTTCTGAGTCATTGAACACCAAATGTAGATCCTTTTTAGTGTCTCTATACTCCTCCACAATTTGTCTAAGAAGGTGATTTGCCTCAGTGGTTGAGCGTCCGGACATAAAACCAAACTGATTCTCCGAAATTTTCACACTTTTTTCGAATTCTTTGCTCAACCACTCGCTCCCAAAGTTTCATTGTGTGACTCATAAGCTTAATCCCTTGATTTTTGGCACATTCTTGTACATCACCCTTATTTTTAAATAGGGGAATGAGAGTACTCTTCCGCCAACTCAATGGCTTTTTGTTGTTTCTCCAAATCATGTTGAAGAAACGTGTTAGCCACTCAATGCCTTTCTCTCCCAAACTTCTCCAAGCCTCGATCGGTATGCCATCTGAGCCCACTGATTTCTTCTGCCTCATCTTTCTCATAGTCTCTTTAACTTCACTTATTTGGATCCTTCTCACGAAGTCCCGATTTACATACACTCCGGTATAGTAAGATCATTAATATCTTACACTTTATTCCCGTTGAACAAGGCATGAAAGTATGACCTCCACCTCTCCTTTATTTCCTCGTCCTCCATTAGTACCCTAAATTGGTCATTAGAAAAACCCTAAATTAGTCATAATAAATGTTGCAGATTATTTCTTTTTCTTTTTTAAAAATAAAGAGGTAAAAATAATAGCTCATTTGTTAAAAGAAATATTTAGATGGAGTAAGACTGTAAGAGTCTATTTTGTTATTCAATTTATGAATCAACTTTTTCATCAAACATGTAACATTTGATTTCGCACGCTGAAATGTGTAATAGTCAAAATAAATAATGCTACAGTTATTTTCTAGCTGAATTGATTGAAATTATTATAGATGGTCATTCTAGCTATTTTTCATATAATCTTTTCTTTATTTTATAAAATATATTTTTCCACAACTCAAGAGACTCAGTTAAACACTTCAATAATTCATTTCAGCAGATTTAGCCATTTTCAATTTTACCAAACGGATTTTAAATGAATTTGTTGAAATGTATATTAAAGAATATCTTTTACTCTTGCAGGATTGACAAAGTGAAAGAAGTATAATGATACTACCTCCATCCCAAATTGTTCTGTAAAGTCAACATTTTTGGGTCAACAAGTGTTAAAGTTAAATCCTTCCTATTGATAAATAATTTAATTTTAATAATTAAAATTTGCATATTCAGAAACTACATATAAATCTCTATAAAGTTGCGAAATTCAAATTAAAATTTAATTCAGAATTGATATTCTAATTAAATAAATAAAATGAAAATGCTTGATTAAAAAATACTCCGTATCAAATTTGTAACTCAATTTGGGACATATGGAGGAGTAGTTGTTATGGTTAGGAAAAGGGTATAAAATCAAAAACTAATTTACATATTCCTAACTTCGGAAGAATAAGAGGTAAATATATATAATATATGTCCTGAATTTTATACTACTTTTGTACCTTTTTATTTAGTTATCTTTGACTTTTTCAGTCAAATATGGTAACCTTTGATCCGTTATTTTAACTAATATATTTTTGTGAAACTTAATAAATTTATACTTTTATGATAGTATTTTTAACAAAGAACATTTTTATATTATTTTCATATTATCACGACTACAGCGTATAAATATATATTGGTCAAAGTTTAATAACTTTGACTTGAAAAGTCAAATTTGGCTAAATAAAAAGGGACGGAGGGAGGATAAAAATTTAGATTTTTTTTCTCGGAATAATGCTAATTAAATTAATAATTGTCAAAATACTGTCAGGTTAAAAATAATTCCCAAAACAATGCCGGGATTAACCACGGTTAACGAAAGCCGCCACTTGAAGTGGCGGCTCTTCTTTAATTGCAAAAAAGCCGCCACTTGGAGTGGCGGCTCTCCTCTTGTAGAACAAAAGCCGCCATTTGGAGTGGCGGCTCTTCTCTCCAGTAACTACACCAGACCTCTATTCAACGTGAAAAAACACAAAAACCTGTTCACAGCTTATTCAACCGGAAAAATACAAAAACCTACTCTTTACAGTACGATCAACTCAAAAACATCAAAAAGCTGCTCTTCATAGTGAATACCGGTTGCTAAAAATTAAAACATAGTCGAGAAACAACGAATCAATTGACTACATTTGATCACGATACTAGAAATATCACATAAAGTTCAAAATAAATCCAATGTTTCATAAATCGATCAACTAGTTCTTGTTTAACACAATAATGTAAAGTACAAATATCACAACTCAACGTGATCGTCATCATAAAGCTCATGTGGTTGTGCTTGTGCCTGACGTCGGGGGCGTCTGCGCTGGGTACGAGGCTGAAGAACCCCTCTATCACGTCGTCGTGCCTGGGACGACCCTGCTGCGGATGTAGTTGTCGTGGAATACTGAGAGGCAGCCACATATCCATGGTTTACTCGACCCAATACAT